TCAGGAGGCTAAAGTGGGGGCGCAGAGACCCTTCTCTCTGTTCCATCCTTTCTCCAGCCACACAGCAACCCAGAGGAGCCTGGGATGTAAGAGGGAAATTTAGGTGGTAAAACTACAAGGAAAAATAAAGGTGACTACCACAAATGGGAGAAGGGGGGCTGGAGGGAGGGAGGAGGGACACGTGGGGGTGGGGGGCTGCTCCTGGGGTCTTGGCAACGTTCTCGTTCTTCACCCAAGTAATGGTGAGACGGTCAAATGCGTGTTTGCTTCATAAGCAGCATAGATCCCCCAACCCCCAGGGGTATGTTCCAAACACCCCCCCCCCCGTTGCCTTCAAACTGCCCAAATATCACCCTCTATATTCACTGTCATTTCCCGCGCACCCATACCTGTGACAAAGCTTCATATTTAAATTAAGCACATTAAGAGACTAGCCACTGGAACAATTATAATAAAATGGAACAATTATAACAATATCCTGTCATAACAGCTACGTAATGCAATCAATCTCTCTCAAAATATCTTGTTTACGTAATATTTTTGAATAGCCTTTGACCTCGGGTAACTGAAATGGCAGCAAGGGGAACCTTGGATTGGGGAAGGGGGGGGGGCTGCTATGTTCCTTATACCAGACTGTGCTTTCGGCACTTCTGTCAGCAACATAACTCACCGTGGAAGACAAAGGTCTGACCCTGTCTTGCCCTGCTTAGCTCTCCTTTGCTTTGCAGTGTGGAAGGGTCAAAGGGCATAGAGGGATTGCACAGAAATCCAGGTAGAGCTGATTGATTTGACATACGGTTTGCAGAGGGCAGGGGGCCCATGAGGAGAAGGAGGAGGGGAGAAGGGGGTGTTGAAGCTGATGCCACGGTTTCAATTTCACTGCTTAGAAGGATGAGGTACCCAGGCCACAGCCTTTAGGCAGAGCCCCCAGCAACTCCTTAGCCCCCAAACTAACCTCCTAATGGACTTCATTACAATCCAACTCCAATAAGCCCATACCCTCTTAAAGGTCAGAAGTTTCCCACTGCCTCAGGAAAAATCATAAACTGGGTTCCTGCAGCCCCTGCCTCTCGCCACCCAGGTCCCTGCCTCTCCTTGCTCAACCTTCCCGGGTCCTGGAATTGGCCTCCGAGTACTGGTCTTTGCAGATCCCTCTCCTGGAAAACCTCTCCCCCTTGCTTTATCTCCCGACTACTCAACTGAACACCATATACTAACGGCAGCCTGCCTGGCCCCCAGTTCAAGTGGGGTTCTCAACCCCTTATACCCTCTCACAGTCCCTTCAACTTCACATTCATGGCCATGGCAGAGCTTAATGTCTGCTTCTTCCACCGGACTGACAGCAACATGAGCTCAAGGAAACTGGCAGAAGCTTTGCTGTTGGGCAGAGAGCTCCCCGGGGGCTCCTTGGGGCAACTCACTGCTTTCCCTCCTTTCCAGAAGGAACAAGAGCTCCTGCAGCCTTCACCCCTCAATTAGGAGCCCGCTCACCCCTGCACATGCTCCTTTCCTCCCCTCCTCTACCACTCCATGGGAATGGCCAGGGCAAAGACGTCTTATTCAGAAGAAAATGTTTCTTCCTCCTCTCATTGCCATGGAAACCATTTTTCTATCACCTGGCCTGCCAGTTAGGCTTCTTGAGGAAGCAGGTGGAGAACTGCAGGATGGAAACGCAACCGTTCATTCACCCATCCGAGGCTGATGAGGCTGTGTGATCTAAGGTTACGAATCTAGAACTCGGAGTCAGACACCCCCGTGCCTGTTCCAGCTCCGACTCTCCATTCAGTGTTGGGAGAGACGTTGCACCTCTCTGAATCTGTTTCGTCAGCTGTATTGGGAGTAAAAATAGCACCTACTTCGCAGAGTTGCCATGAGGATTAAGGAAGGCTAAGGAAAGGAAATGCACTTAGCACACACACGGGACGGGCTGGGAAAATATTAGCTATTCTGCTGATGCCCACGGAGAGCCGGGCACTGGACGGCTGACAGACCCTGGTCACCAGACAGTCCAGGTCAAGGAACTGTGTTTCTACATGTTTCCCCTTCACCGAGTGTTTCTCACACTCACAACTTAGTTTTCATAAAAATAACAACTCTTCCTACCTCCCTCATATTTCACTGGCAATAGACATGGATCAGAGTCCCTGATCACAATCACCAACAGAAGTGGCACAAACAGGTCTGGGAAGAAACACTCTGACGCTTGGGAGACAACTTGACTGGGGGGCAAGGGGTGAGGCAAACTGGAGCAGCGCACATGCAACCAGCGCCACCGCGGCTTTCACAACTGAAATAATGAAATGTGAACACGCATCACACAGCCAAGCATCATTCCAGGAAACTCTGTTCTGGTGACACGTAAGTGTGTGTGCTGGATGTCACCCTTGGGTGCTGGTCCCCTTGAATGTGATACATATTCCCTGTGCAAGACACCTCCCTACACACACACAGACACACACACACACACACACACACACTTTGTGTTTTGTTACCCCATTCCCTAGGTCTCTGCTTTAAATAACATCATATTTTCTTCGATTAATCGTTGGTTGTTTGATTCATTCCTCTCTCCCCATGTCCTCGTTGGGAGCCCCTTGAGGATGAGGGAGGTTTCTGTTTTGCTTTGAGCTCAAGGTTTAATCTATCACAACTACCAGTAGGTACTGGACAGACACGAGGCAGGGGTGGGGAAAGAGGAGATGAAGAGACACCAGGGTGACTAGGTTGGGTGTGCGGATTTAAGGAGCCTGTGGTACCCTGGAGAGGCAGGGATCTGAGGTGGGTGGACAGCCCTGTCAGGAAGAAGAGCGTTTTGAGAGGTGGGGTGATGAGGCGCATGGTCCCTGGTCCCCAGCTGACTGAGTCCTTGGCCCTGCTTCATACTTTGGGCACCACCTCACCTCCCCGGCCTTGGTCTCCTCATCCACTCACAGGCTGCCATGAGAGTCAAAAGAGTTCTGCTGACCTCAAACAAAAAGCAATCACTTCACCAGCAAAATGGATTTAATCAGAAACAACAAAAAGGCAGTGTGGGGAGAACAGTCTTACCACGGTCTCACGATGAAGCTCCAGTGCCCTTGTCCCAACCACAGAGCACCCCCTTATGTATACTTTGGAGGCGCTGCTGGGTAATGACGCCTCTTTCTCCCTTCTGCTGGGGTGAGGCAGTAACACCACTTCTCATGGGGACGCCCCTCATGTCCTGTAGTTTGGGGCTGGGCATGCATGGGAACTCATTTAAGTAGGGCCACCATGTATTCATTTTCAGTGTGTAATGAAAAGGGCTTGGATGGCAATACCTGGTGACATATCCATGTTGGTCATTATCATCATGGAGGGGGAAGGAGCACCCAGAGATGAAGGGCTAAGGACAGAGCTTCAAGGGGTCCATGGGCAGACCCTGGCAAGGGGAGTGTGGGAGCCGGAGGGGATGGCAGCAAGGAAACTGTTACAGGGCAGCCCTCATATAAAACGGGTTGCCTGGCTGTGGGTCCTCACCCGCGCTTAAAAGGGACTTATTAATACTCCACTACAGGCACACACAAAAAGTTAATAAAAGGTTTATTCACAAGGGAAAGGGAAATGAGGAAATGTACAACTCAGGGAGAAAATAGGGAAATAAATGAAAGGTTCGGCGCGGTAAAGAAAAGAAGAGCCAGGCTACATTTCTCAAAGGGAGGGAAAGTTTATTGCGCCCCCCGGGCGGACCTCACAGACCCAAGGTGGGGGTCAGTGAAGCCGCGCACGTTGTTAGGGGGAAGCAGGGTTTTATAGGGTGAGGAGAGGTCAGGTGGGAAGTTGGGCTCGTATGGCGGGAAAAATTTGTAGGGCAGGTAGAGGTTCTTTGTCTGAGACCAGACTGGTAGGGGGAGGGGGAGGCTCATTGTCTGAGTCCTCCAGGCAGGTATCCGTATTCCTGCTCCCCAGGTGGGCTTCCTGGTTGGCTCCTGCATTCAGGCCTCATGCATGGACCTTTCAATAAAGTCTTTAATGGGTCCTACCCTATCCGCCAACCTGGAAACCCAAAGGCACTCTCAGAGCTGGCCGGATGCTGAGAGCTGGCGGGGAACCAAAATGGGGGACCCTCCAAAGCCCACGTGTCTGGCTTTATACCAACCTGGCTGCTTAACCCCACCCTCAGGTCCCAGCCGCCTTCCCTTTGGTGGTGATGGGATGTGGAGTTCCCAGTGTCTCTGGCTTTGGCCTGGGGTGGGGGTGGAGTCCACAAAGCCTGTATGGAATTAGCTTTAGGACACCCTTTTCCCCCTAACAAAACCAATAAACAGAAGGTTAGAGTGGCTTTGAGGGCACAAAAGAGGGCGGTGAAGCAGGCAGAGTTTCTGAACGGCGTGTGGGTTGCTGGGAGGCAGGGCGGCATTCAGCTGGAGAGAGGGGGGACCCGCGGGACCGCGGGGTGCGGGCCGAGCGGGAGGGGGCAGGGAGGGACTCTCCCTCTACCCCCGTTTCAGGGTGAGTGTGTGGGTGGGGACTTAGGAGAACACAGAGGGACGGCGCCTCGCCTCAGAAAGGGAGCGGGTCACGAGGGAAGTTTGAACAAAAGCCTCCAAGCCACGCCGGGCCCCGGCTCCAGCCCCCGCCCTTCCAGATGAACCCCCGGCTCACAAAGAAAAGCCAATTGTCCAGGCCGGCGGGAGGGGTCCCGGCCAACCCGGGATCCTCGCCTCCTCCCCGCCCCGGCGCGGCTCCCCGAGGCGCGAGGAGCCAGCGGCGAGCAGGGCGTGGTGGCCCGGCCGCGGCAGGCTGGGGGCGCGGGTTCCGCGGCCGCGAGGGGGGACTTGCGGATACAAAGCCGCGGGGTCGCTGGCGCCAAGCCCCGCCGGGGTCCTCCGTGAATGGGAAGGGCCGGGCCAATCCGAGGGCAGGATTCACAGCCGCGAGAGCAGAGGGCCAATCGGAGCTCCCGCGCGGCGGCGAGGAGGCGGCTGAGCCAATCGGCGGTGAGGAGTGGGCCGGGGGCGGGCCCGCGCGGAGTTTCAAATCGGCCGCAGTGGGCTGGCCCCGGCTGTGCTCCGCGGCTGGGAGGCGTCGGGGCTGCAGGTGAGTGCGGGCCGGGACACAGTGGGGGCTGCAGGTGAGTGCGGGCCGGGACACAGTGGGGCTTCTGTTTAGAAGGGGCTTGGACAAGACATCTAATCAGAACGGGCACGACGTGTGGGATGTGTGGGTATTGCAAGATGAAAATCGGGGTGTTGGGTCAGTGCGCTGGGGTCTGGGCTGGAGCTTGTCGGGTCGGGGCGAATAGGTGAAAAAACAGGACGGTGCGTTGCAGCAAGTGCTGAGACCCCCTCTGCTTCTGAGGCCAAGAGCCGAAAGGGGGCCGGGATGAAGTCAGCTGTTTCCCATACTTGCAATAAGCGGCCGCAGGAAATAGTGACCCGCTTTGTTCAACCTTTGCCCTTTTCTGGGCCTTGTTGACCCCTCTTCCTGAACGTTTCCTCATAACGGCAGCAAGTTGCCAAGGGTCCCCACCCCCAGCCTAGGCCATCTACCCGACCTGTGGGCCTCCATCCCATCTTTTCCGCTGTAGGAGGGTCTCTGTGAGGCCTAGGGATGGGAGGGAAGGAGGAGGGGCTTGCTGACCTGCCTTTTGACCTCCTCCCCAGGGTCTGGTGGGCAGCACAGACACTTAACCGGACAGATGGCCTCTCGATGGCCAGGCCTGGGGGCCTCCAAACGCCGCAGATCTCTCCAGGACCACAAGCAGCTGGAGGAAAGCGACGTGCTGCAACCTGCAGTATGCCATATGGAGACCTCCAGTGGGGCCCTGGGCTCCCTGTGCAGACAGTTCCAAAGGAGGTTGCCCCTGAGAGCAGTCAGCCTCAACCTGGGGCCAGGGCCCTCCTGGAAACGCCTGGAAACCCCAGAGCCAGGGCAGCAAGGCCTCCAGGCTGCTGCTCGCTCAGCTAAGAACGCCTTGGGTGCCATGTCCCAGGTAATGCCAACTCTACTAACTATCCCTCCATGGAGTACTTCCTTGGTGCCAGACAGGGAACACCCCCAAGGAGCCCCCAAGAATGTAGACTCCATGAAGATAAGGACTTTGTGCACCCAAATATCAATAGTTCCTGGCAGCTCAACATATAGTTCAATGAGTGAATGAAAATAGCCTCATGGAGGAAACATCCTCACAGTGCAATGATAACAGTAATCAAGCAGGAGGCTAATGGTAGGGGGAGGCCACCAAAAGTTTAGTCTGGGAAGGCTTCCCAGAGGAGATGACTTCATGGAATTCACCCCAAAGGGGCAAGTATAAAGAGAGTGTGAGGTCAGATCTCCAACTTTGGGGAGAACAAGATGTAGAAGAGAACTGGCAGGAACTTAGCCTGGGTACATCCAGAGGACAGAGCAAGGCGGGGCTTAGTGTACTGAAGGTATTTGGCTTTCCCAAGAGCCAGTAGGAGGAATTTTCTACAGGGTGGGAATCAAGTCAGACCAGCATATCAGCACTTGTTCTTTAACTACTTGGAAAGGGCAACAGAAACAGAATCACCCTTGAGGATCCTGGCCCAGAGGAATAAACTTTTAGGAGCTGAAAGTTCAGAAGGTAGATTGTGGGCAGGAAGATGGCACACGTGTTGGGTGTGGGTAGTCCTTCTCTGGGAAGAAACTGCCCAGGGATCAGAGAAATGACATCTTCTGCCCAAGGTCAGGTGACTTACCAAATGGCCAAATGAAACTCTGGTCTTGCTCTAACTTCCGGACTCTAGTCTGCCAACGCAGAGACAGTCTGAGGAGCCCTCCAGCCATCACCCAGCTGGGATCCAGGCCTGAGAAGTAGGGCCTGGCTCTCTGGGCAATGAGGAGAAAGAGAAGGGCTCTGAGCAGTTGAGTCCTGATGAGCATGGTCAGGACTGCCCTTGAGAAGGATCTCCGGAGCAAGGTGGAGGCAGGGTTCGAGTAAGACCACGGGCAAGGAGGCAAATTACCTCCTGACAGGCTGGGAGGAAGGCTTGGCCTTCTTCACTTTCCAGGTCAATTTGTACCCCAAAGAGGGTCTAGACAAGGGGAGGCTCTGTAGCCACAGTAGTTCTGACCACAGTGCTCAGACCCCGTGGTCTCGGGGCGCCCCATTTTCCCTCCCCCTTGAGAATAAAAGCTGCCTGTGTTTGCAGGACAGTGGGTGGGCTAAAGGGCTGGTGTGCAGCCTGTAGGCCATGCCCATCTCTGTTGCCTTGGTCTGTGCTAACCTTTCTGTGTGCCTGCCACAGAGAATCCAGGAGTCCTGCCACAGTGGCACCAAGTGGCTGGTGGAAACCCAGGTAAAAGCCAGGAGGAGGAAGAGAAGGGCACAGGGGGATGGGAGCCCCCCAGCTCAGGACCTGAACCCAAGGAGTACCCAGTCATCTGGAGCAGCCCCTGCCCACTCATACCTGGGCACCTGGGAAAGGGAACATCACCACCCATCTGCACAGATGGGGCCACGTGCCCACCTTCTGCGGCGGTCCAGGAGGGAGGCAGCCTTCCGGAGCCCCTACTCCTCAACGGAGCCCCTCTGCTCCCCCAGGTAAGAAATAGTGCCTTGCCCCCAAAATACTAACTATACCCCCAAGGACTTCTGAGTCCTCCCTTATTGTCACCTGGAGTCAGGGGCATCCTGAGTTAAGTCATACCCATGTTGTGACCCATGTCTGTCCCCCACTTGTGGGAGGCCTGGGGAAGTCCTGCAGGGCTTTAGTTACCCCATCTATAAAAGCAAGAGGTAAGCTTAGCTCTGACAGTATCATACTCACCCAAGTCCCCCGGTGAGCCCAAAAGCAGGTTGTGAAGCCATCTGGAGGCCAAGGCTCAGTTTCCAAGGGTTCACCTGTCAGTAAGATCCCCTGCCCTTCACTTTGGCCTCATAGACCTTAATCCGTCTGTTCTCTTCCATGTGCTCCAAGTCACTCTGATGTCAGTAACTGGAATAAGAACTGGGGTCGGGCATTCCCAGCACCCTGGGCCTGGAAAGCCAGGCCCCGATGGGGGCGTTAAAAGCGGCTCCTGCATAGATTTCCCAGCAGTTAACAGCGTGGCTTTCCTTCTGTTCAGCGAGTCTGACAGTGACCTAGAGCCTGTGGGGGCAGGAATCCAGCACCTCCGGAAGCTGTCCCAAGAGCTGGACGAGGCCATCGTGGCTGAAGAGAGGTGAGCTGGCATCCCACGCTTCAAAGTGAAGTGGCCAAGAGGGTCCCCTTTAGCTACACCATCCTTCTAGGCAGGCCTCTGATTCCGGCTGTGACCCTCTGCAACCTGACCCTCTGGCCAGACCCAAGCCCTCTCTGAGCCTCTGTCTCATCAACGACAGGAGAGGGAAAAAGGGATCTAGATTGGATGGTGGTTAAAGGGTACACTCTAGATGTATTGACCCCCTAGCCTTGGTCCCCACATTTGCCCATCACCTGGACCTCACAGGTGGTGGGTATCTCATTTCTGATAGACTGCCCTTACCCTGAATTGGAGCTGTGGCTCTATGCCCTGCCTGGGCATGGAATTGGGAGCGGCAACATGGTTGCTATGGATTTGCCAGCCTGTCAGGAACCTGTCCTGGGGCAGGGCCTGGGTCTGGGGCCGCCCTAGCTTGTACATTGATAAGCTATTCTGCGGGGCCCTGCCAGCTCTTTATCAGGTGGGCCCTGTTCCTGCCGTGTTGCCAGGTCCAGGCTGGGAGGGCCCCTCTGCCTACAGCACCCCGAAGCATCTGTCCCTCCCGCTTTCTCATCTCTAGCGGCGACATGACCGTTTCTCTCCTTCGTAACTGAGGACAGTGCCCTTCAGGTAATGTGCTCCTGCCAAGCATCCTTCTCCGTGTCTTCATCCTTCTCCCTCCACCTCTTCATGCCTCAGCACGTATGCAGAGTCCGAGGCATATCAAAGAAAATACCTTTACTGGAAAAACCCACAGAACTCATGGGCCCAGCAGAGCAGGAAGCATGCTGAGGGCCCCAAGAGCTAAAACCAGCTTCCAGCTCCTTGTCTCGGCGGGGCGGAGAGGCTGTGGTGTTCCCCCTTCCTCTGTCTTGAACAGAGAAGGGCAGGAAGGCAGCTCTGTCTTGCAGGAAACAAGCCTTGTATGACCACCCCTTGCACCCAGGATCTGTGCCTCCCCCTGAGTTCCGGGAGGAAGCCCCCAGGAATCGGCAGCACCCGTGGGCTGCCACTGACAAGGCCCCGACTGGCAAGGGCCCAGGCGAGACTGCCAGGGGCCTCTGCTGTTCTGCCTCGGCCACATCTGGGCCTGCCGGTGACCACCTGCCACAGCCTGAGAGTGACTGGGGGAGCCTTTAGAGAGGTGGGGGGAACTGTCCATTCTATTCCTCTTTGGGGCTTAGAAACATCCCAAACTTGAACCTCTGGTGGCTTTATGTGGAATGTTGAGGAGCAGGCACTTGTAGGTATCTGAGAGCTGCGTGTGCCCGGGCATGGATCTGCAGGGAACTACCCCCTGTGTGACCAGTGCTGAGCCTCTGGGGGACCCAGCTCCTGTCCCTGCTCCCCCACCAGAGTCCTTGCAGGAGTGGGAGAAGGATTTCTAGACTGTAAGACCCTGGACCCGAGGATACCTATTTATATTCTCAGCACAGGGCACTATGGATGTGCAGGGAGGGGTAGCGATTTCTGCCCTTTGTGAATTATTTAAGAAATCTGCTTTGTCATTTTATGAGAAAGAACTAATGTGTGACATTCCTAGATAACGTTGCTTTTCCATAATAAAGATTCTTCTGTATTTGACATCTCTTCCCTGTCACAGTCCCTCCACACCCTGGGCCATAGTGCTGTGGTTTGGGGTGGAACTCAGTTCCCCTCATCCAGCCAACTCCCAACCAGCCCACCCCCGCCCCAGGGCGACGTGATCAATGGGAAAGCCTTCTTAGCTCACTTCCCAGCAAAGCACATCTTAAAGGCAAATTAGGTTTTTATTTAAGTGACAACGTTTGAGAGTTAAAAACCAGCTCACATCAAAATCAAGGCCAGTTGTAAAAATCTTTTAACTCCGTAATGTTGGTTTTGTCTTGTTAGAAATCTGATTATTTTACATTTTCTTTTCTAACGGATTTTGTACAAGGCAGCCGTAAGGAATAGAATAAACCTTTTTTCACCACAGGACCATCCACCACAGATAATACTGGAAGTCACACACGTACGAACAGTCAGACCAGACAGGCTGCCACCACCGAGTAAACAGACAGAAAAGGACAGTGGGTCCGAGGGTGGGGGTCCCCGCGAGCGGCTACCCTCCTGTCCGGCCCAACCCTGGTGTCACCTGCTTCTTTTCAAGGAGGGAAGGGCCCAAAATGATTTTCCTCCCAACAGCCATGTGGGTTTCTCAGCAAGGAGGGCAGGACCTGGGCCAGGCCTCACTGCTTGGACTGAACCCAAGGATTTTTAAGAAAGTTCCCTCAAACCCAGGAGGGAAAGAAGGAGAAGGGATGTTTTGGCAGAGCCAGAGAAAATAGGTTTGCAGAGCACTTGGCACCTGAACCCCAGGGGTTCTGCAGGAAATTCAGTTGTTTAAGGCGGGGTCATGGCACCCCTCCCAGGCGGGGTGGCCAGTGGCTGGGTGGGAGAGACCCACATGCCACCTCTGGACCTGTTTCTGCCTACCTGGAGGTCCAGCTTTCGTTTAAAAATTGGTGCCATGTTTTGTCTGCAGGACCCTCCTTGGGTGCGGGCGTGGTCTCCAAAATGGTAAAAGCACAGTTTAAAAACCATGAGATCCAGCCTCCCCTCTTTCGGAGAGCCCGCCCTCAGTGTTCTCTGGATCCTGGGGCTGGAATATGTTTGCTTCCTGCAGCCAGCACCCAGACAGGAGGGCCGTTCATCCAGTGCATGATAAAGAGGGATTTTCAATATTTTGCGGAGCCTAAGTGGGGGGGTTGAGAGTGTTAGAAAATCCATGATGCCTGAAGAGTGTGGCCTGGCTGAGGTTGCTCCCCGAACTCCCAGTGGTGAACGATGGGGGTGGCGGCAGGACAGCCCCCCTGTCTCCCCCACCGCCCCGCCGCCTCCCAGCGGGAAGAACAAACATGCCACATGAGAACGAGGAGCTTTGGTCAGGCAGGAAGATCTGTTTCCAGCTCCTGGGCAGCAGGCATGTCAGGAGCCCAGAGGATTCTCTAGAAAACATTCTGGACAGGGTCACAGAGCTACTGAAGGGAGAGGCAGCAGCACCCCCTTGGGAAACAACACAACTCGGTTCTCTTTCTCCAACTGAACTGGACAGACACAATTGAACAAACCACTAGTATAGAAAGTGCATGTTGGCTACAGAGTCGCCATGAAAGCAGTACTGGAACAAGTGTGAGTCTGGTCACTGTACAGAACCCCACGCACACGGCCACACACCAGCTAAAGCTCCCAGGGCATCAGGTTCACAAATGTCTCACTGTACACCATCGGCATCTTCAGGGGTGAGTCATCAGAGCCACAGAACCCCGCCCTCAGGACCCCAAATTCCACAGGGCCCCAGCACTCCTGCTTCTAGCCCTGGGGTGCTCAGAAAGGGCGGCAGGAATCTTACTGGGGGAAAAGCATTCACACCAATGATCATTTGAGAGTAATGTATCTGGCTTCTATAAAAAGATGGTGGAGTTTCAGAGAAGCACACTCTGCCAGTTTAATTCAAAATCTATTTTGTAAGGGATTAATAAGGTTGAGGCCCCGTGAGCCTTACAGAGAGCCAGAATGAAATGGTCAAAGAGGAATGTGAACTGCCAGGAGGCAGGACCATAAGACGCTGAGGGGGATGCCCCACTTCCCAGCAGACTTGCCAGCAGCTCTGGGTACAGAGGCAGGGCTAGAAGTAGAGCAGAGAGCTATTAGATGGGTTGGGTGGGCTTGACAGGAGCTGGCAGACTAGAGAAGCCATATTTCTAGTAGATAGAGCAGGAGTGGGGGCTGGGAACCCAGGCCCCTCCAATCCCAGCAGGACACCCAGTTTGCCCGGCAACTTGCAAGGGTGCCCCCCACCCGCAGCCGCTGTCAGGGAGGACATTGGCTACATGGGAGCTGCACGAGGTAGACATTGAGCAGAAGCAACGCTGGGTTGACACAGGTGCCTGCTGTGTGTACAGCTGGGCGCTGGGGCCGGCAGCCCTGACAGCACCCCGGCTGAAGATCTCGACCTGCCTCATGATGGCCCTTGGGGGCTCAGAGGCAAACCAGGGCAGCCCATACAGCAGCACTGGGCCTGAGCCTGGGCCAGGGAGCTGGGGCGAGTGGAGAAGACCCATGCCCAGGCCGAGGGCTCAGCAGCAGGAAGGCCTGGGCAGGTTTTCATGGCCCCCAGGAGAGGCAAGCCCTGCCAACTTCAGGGGACAACCCAGGTGGAGATTAAGGGCATAGACCAAGCTGAATGTCAGGGGTAAAGGAAGAGAATACAACAGGAAATCACATGAACCCCAAAACCCTGGGATCTCAGCTCAAAGCCTTTCAGTAGCCAAAAAAGAAGTCAATCTGAGCAGAGCTGTGGGCACCAAGGTGAGTGCCCTTTAGGGGGTGGGTATGTCTCTGTCCCTGGGACACCAGGTCTGGCATCAGGACAAAGCAAACCTCTCCATGGAACAGAGATCCTTGCCCAGCTTCTCCCAGAGGGGTTTCCCTTTAAGTGGCGGGGCAATAGCTCCTCCTCCTGTCCTGCCTGGAACCCCTCTTTCAGGCTGGGTGGAAGGCATACATCACTGGGCACTCTGAGGGGCTTGGGAGGCCTGAGAAGCCTCAGGGGGCAGAAGTGCGAGTGATTCGAGGAGTCAAAACCTTGTTGCTGGGAAGACCCCTCCAGTTAATAAGGAAGGCAGGGCCCAGAGGGCAAGCAATGGACTCCAGGGCTCAAAGCCAGCCTGGTTAGGCCAGAGCCCAAGCTAGGGCCTCGCAGGGGAGGGCACCAGCGGGAATGCTCAGGGAATGGGAATGCCTGTCCTCAGGAATCACAGGAGAATGGTGAGGATACCGAAGACAACAGGGTGACAATGGACAGCTGCAGGAGAACAGACCGTCAGCACCAGACCCCACCCCCCAAGGGCAGTGGACGGACGCCGAGAACACAGGACGAGCCCAGAAAACATCCTCTCCCTCCTGGGAAGTGTTCACTTTGCCACAGGAGGGCCAGGCCCTAGGTGATGAGCCGGGATGTGACAGGGAGGCTGGGCACGAATGCCACTCGCCCCTCCGCCAGCCAGCCAAGAAGCTGTACCTGCCAGCCGCTATTGATCCCTGGTCGGGGGGCTTCTCCCTTCGGGCCTGCCTAGCATTTCTGCCAAAGCCTGGGGCTCTCAAGGAGATGGCTGACTTGTTAAGCACTCCAGCTCCAGGCAGGCCTAGCCTGCCCCCCAGGATTACACAGTCATCAACCCTGACTTGGGCTTGCGGCGCAGGCATGGGGGAGGCAGCAGAGGCTCCACTGAGACCCAGGGATCTCACCCCCAGCAGCCCAGGGCGCCCCCCACGGCCGGTCAGGGTCCCTCCCCTCTCTAGTTGGACACTGCTGGACAGACACGGGAGGGAAAAAGCAGGAAAAGGCCTGTGTCGGGGAGATGGCAGCCCCTCCAGTCCCCGCAGGTAGCCTGGTAGGGTCCCTCCCACCCTGCTCAGTGCACAGCCTTGCCCTCAGGGCACCGACTCGAACTTAGGGGGTCCACGCGCCCAACTGAGCGCGGGCAGGGGCCGCTCCTGGTCTTTGTCCGACTCGGGCTGGCTCTGGGCACGCTCGGGTTTGGGGTTGGCGGGCGGGTCAGGCTGCTGCACCGACATGGTCCTGCGCAGGTGGTTGCGCTTGCGCAGGAACTCGGGCTGGGCGTGCAGGCCAAAGCTGCCCTTGCGCAGGATCATGCGCGAGTTGTTCTTCTTGGGGCGCGAGCGGTGGCTGGCCTCCAGCGCGGCCAGGTGCACCGCATAGCCTTCATTCAGGAACTGCGGGGGATGGTGGGAGGCCAGAGTCAGGCCCGGGAGAGGGTCGAGCTCCTGGCTCCTTGCCATTCCATCCTCCCCGCCCCCCCCCCCATATTGTCATTTCCCAGAAACGCGACCTCGAGTGGACAGCTTCTCCTTAGAAGGAGGAGAAGCTGTAGGAAGAAACTCCAGGGAGCCAGTTACCATTGAAGGCTCCCCACCCCACTTTGGACAACTGAGCTCTTCTATGGCTACCCTTGGTCACCCCAGAGGTTCTCTGGATTCTTAACAGGGGTGAGGGTGGGGGGGAGGGGGGCAAGTGGGCAGGCTGCTGCTCCTTTTCTTGTCACTTTCACTACAATCCCAAAATGTTAGTCTCTGCCATCATCAGGCTTCTACACCAAGGAACTTCATTTCCTGGCCTCCATGCTGCCCATCTCTGCCAGTCTCTCCCACTGTCCTCAGGCCCTGCCATTCCAGGTGTGGTCTGTGGACCAGCAGCATCACAGCGCTTGGACCCTTGGAGCTCGAATCTCAGGCCAAGGTAATCAGAATCTGCATTTAAACAAGATCCCCAGGGGAGGTCCTGTTTAAGAAGCACTCTGCTCCTACCATATCTGACCCTTTACTTGCTGGGCATTACATGCAACAGGGCTCCAAGGGAAACCATCACCTTCCCTTCTGCAACCTGCTTCTCAATCCCAATAATGGGACTGGTCCCCAGGCAGGAACGGGACGCCAGCCCTGGCTTTCCCCTTCCTTCATCCTGCACATCAAGTCCTAGCCATCAGTCTTAGAAATGCCTCTCAGGCCCTCTGCCTTCTTGCCACTACCCCCTGCCAACATTTCTTTGTCCTCTGCTCTGTCTTCCACCTGCCACCTGGGATCTCTGAATCACAGACTCTCCAAAGACTTAGAAAACCAGGCATGGCAAGGCGTGCAGTCCATCTGATGCGCTGCCCCTCAGCCCCCACCCTCCTGCTTCCTCCCACCTCACACTCAGCCAAGCTGAGTCACTTGCAGTTCCCAGAATATACCTCTGCTCTGTCACCTCCTAACCTTCGCTTTGCTACTGCCTCTGTCACAAATGCTCCTCCGAACTTCAGGCCCTTCCTGGACAATTCCTTCAAACTCCTGAAAGCCAACTTCGCTACCAGTCTGGCCTAGCTGCTCCTCTCTGGGGTCCCACAATTCTCTGTGCTTCTCCCCCACTCTCCATGCACTATGGCTCTTGCCACACTGCACTGTCATTTTCTGCAAATTTTCCATCTCCCCCACTAGACTGGATGACATTGAACTTCACCCAACACAACACAAGCGGGTGCTCAGTAATGTTTATCAAATGGGTGAATGAATGAATGAGCAAATTAAGAAATGAACAAATAAATGAATGAACAAACAAGGAAATGAATAACCTCCTTCCCACCCCCAACTTTTCCCTGCCCCCAGCCCCTAACTGGGATTCCACCCACCTGGCACTGGGTTTGGTACTTCTTGGTGGGCCGGCCCACGATGAAGATCTGGGAGGATGGCAGGCCCAGCACACTGTAGACAGAGATGTCCTTCGTGGAGCCATAGGCTGCGCTGATTTTGATAAAGCACTGAAACACAGGGCAGGTCATGGAGGGAGAGCGGCCCAGCCCACCTGCCCGACCAGGTTCCTAGACACCCCCCTCCCCCAAGGGAATCTCTGCTGGAAGACCCTGTATCTGTACTCCCTTTAGAGTCCAACTCATGCGTCCCCCACCCTGTGGTGACCTCCCATCCTGACCCAGCTACGCCCCCTCCTCTAAACACAGGGCTCTGCTTGATAAAAGTTCTGACCACAGTCTCCAGCAACCCTATTCACGTTACGTAACAACAAAGCAAAGGGTACCTATGTGGATGAGGAAACTGAGTTCTAGATTTACCCAGGCATCAGCTCTGGAGCCCAGTTCTGTCTACCCTTTGACCCCTGACCTTTGGCCACCCACAATCAGACTGTGACCCACCACTGGCCACTGCCTGTTGCTGGCTGGCCTGATGCTAACCCAGAGACCTGCCCAAGCTCCTCCTCTCTCCAGTGTCACTTCCAGATCCTCACCCACCCCCTGCTTTCAGGTGCTCACCATCCAGCTATTCCTCACCTGGGGGCTCCTGAGAACCCCCATCAATCCTGATTTTTCTTCCACTCACCTGCCCCACAAGTTCCCTGGAGGGTTTTGGTCCTGGGTCACAGCTTTCCTTCCTCCTAAGTCCTACCATTGCTGGAATGGCTTTCTGCCTGCGTGGATAACCCCCTACCCCTCAGACTCTTGACTTTTTGAAGGTCATTAGACATCACTTCCAGGACTGACCCCAGAATATCCTGTCTGAATTCGGAACTTATTGCACTCCCATGTGTCCATACTAGCTCATCTTCCCCCAGACTGGTGTCCTCCTTTGTCCCCTCTCATTTCATTCATTTACTCACTAACATTTTCCACTAACATTTACTGAGCTCTTACTATATGCCCTCATTGCCTCAGATTCTGCCGCCCTGGCAATCATAGTCAAGTTAGTGGACCTCAGTCCCTCCTGGTCACCCAAGATGGACAGCTAAGAGTTCCCCTCTCCCTCCAGCCAACCATCACTGGGTCCTGACAGTTTGACCTCCTCATTCTTATGCTTGTCAATGCCTTTCCCGCCATCCCATGGCCACAGCCTGGATTCGACCTGCCTGCCTTTTGCTTGGGTAACAGCTTCCTAGAACTAGCCTCCCTTCCTCTTATATCCCGTGACAATCTTTTCTCCATGCAGCCACCAGAGTGATATTTCTACCAACCAAATTAGAGATGGTCACTCCCCTGCTTTAAACTTTCCATGACTCCCCACTGGCCTCAACAAAGTCCATGGTCTTGACCTGGTTTCCAAAGCCTTCCAACCACAGACCCCTGTTGACCTCTGGCTCCTCAGCTCCCACCTGACCTCAACTTGATGCTGTATATACCCCCATCCTGGACTCTTAAGATTACCCCAGGCTCTTTCCCACCTCAGTGCTTTTGCACTTGCTGTTTCTTTAGGCATCTGAAAAAACCATACTCATGCTTCAAGACTCAGATCAAAAGTTACCACCTCCTAGAAGCCTTCCGGGCCTCCCTGGGCAAAGCTAAGTCCTTCCTCCTCTGTTTGTCAACAGGACCTTTTCCAATCACACACCAGCAAGCTGCCCATCTACATGTCTTTCTTCTTCCACACAAGGGACTGGCAACTTTTTTGTGAAAACCCAGATAGTAAATAATTTAGGCTTTGCACAATGTCACAACTACTCAACTGTTCTGTTTTAGCTCAAAAGCAGCCATAGACCACACGTGAGCCAGTGAGCATGGCTACGTTCCAATAAAGATTTGCTTAGGGACACTGAAATTTGAGTTTCACATAATTTTCACATGCCATGAAATAGTACTTTTCTTTTGATTTTTTTTGTCCCCAACCATTTAAAAATATAAAACCATTTTTAGCTCACAGGTTATATAAAATCTGGCTCTGGGTCAGACTTTGCTGGTGCGCCATTGTTTGTTCACCCTGCTCTAGATCAGCAGTTCTCAACATCTCATAAGCATCAGAATCCTCTGGCGGGCTCATTGAAGGACAGGTTGCTGGTCCCTCTCCCTGGAATTCCTGATTGCGCAGTCTGAGTAGGGGGCCAGAGAATCTGCATTTCTAATGAGCTCCCAGGGGTGCCCCATGAGAAACAAGAAACGCAGCTCCAGGTAAAAGTCCCCAAGAGATTACGCTGAGGACATTTGTCTCTGTGCAGCCCCGACACAAAGGGCAAAGTAAGGAACACAAAAGACACTTAAATATCTATTGAATGAATAAGCAGATGGAGACCTAAGAGCTCAGGCTTTAGGGTCAGGAGAGAAAGGATGGAAGTGTGACTCTGAGATCTTGGGCTAGTCCAGTGAGATAGCAAACACCCACCCTTGAGGACCCAATGAGGTCCAAGGAGGAGCTGATGCTTTGCAAACAGCTTCACCAGCACAACTGGGGTGGGGGGCGGGGGCAGGCTAAGTGGGTAAGGCCCCGCAAAGATCGAGGGGAGGTGTGGGGAGGTCTCATCCCTCCTCTGGCCCAGCCCCACCCCGGGCCTGGCACTCACCTCCTGCATGAGGTTGCGGAGGAAGATGGCCTTCTGCCGTAGTGGGTCATGGACAAGTCCATCCGAGAAGAAGATCATGCCCTGTGGGAAGTTGTGCTGGGACAGCCACGACACCACTCTCTGCTTCTGCATGTCTGGCCGCCCCGTGATGTACAGGATCATGTAGCCCAGGTCCTGCCAGTGCCTGGCGAGAGGGCACGGTAGGGTCCAGCCCAGCCCAGCGCCCCCCTGCCCCGGCGGCCTGCCAGCCTGCTGACCTCCTAAGAAGTTGTCTGAGGAGTGTCAGGGAAATTGAGGGAGACCCCCAGGTCCACAATCCAGGTTGAGCCCTGTGAGTCCTGGACGTCTCTCCCGAATGACCCACAGGTACCTCCTGCCCACAACCCAATGACCTCCCCACTCCCCCCTCTCTGCCCACCTCCTCTTCTCTGTGATGCTGCCGACATCATTCAAGTTTCTGGAACCAGAGACAAGTCGCCTTTGAGCCCACCCTGGCCCTTGTCTCCCCTCCCTCCTCCTTTGATTAGTGAGCAAATCTTTTTTTCTACCAGATGGGACCTTTCCACCACTCTCTCACTTTAATTGTAATTCTCATCCTCAGCTGAGGCCTCACCTCCCCCAGGGCCAGAACAAAATCCTCCTGGGAGGCCTCTTTCCCTTCCAGTCCTCTCTCCAGTGGAACCCATGCTGGGCAACCTTGGGCAGCTTATTCGATGCCCTGGGACTCAGTTTTCCAATCTGTGGAATGGTGATAATGACGCCCAGAGTTGACCTAAGGATAAAATGAATTCATCCCAAACATGACTGGTGTAGGGTGCGCAATACATTTGCTGTGTTGTTAACCTTGGAACTGTTTCCATGGTGATTTCTATGCATCACCAGTCTAACCCCCTCCACCTTTGCCAATGCTATTCCTGGTTCTCCAGCACCCTGCGGTCTCCAGCTGTCTCCACACTTGTGGTCCTCCACACGCTGCCCTTGAGCGTGGCGGCTCCCCAGACACACAGCCTGCCTTGCTGCCCCCAGTGCTCTCTGCTGCAGCCTCGCCCCTGAGAGCCTCCATGTGCCATGGCCTGGCACTCCCATCCCACACCTTTCAAGACTCCTCTCCTCCAGGAAGCCTCTCTTCTCTGCTCTCCCTTGATTTCCCATGAAATCCTGGCTGCAGGATGACAGATGTACTCAGACCAGTTTGGGGGCTTTTGTGTCACCAGCTACCATCTGGCTATTATAGCCAGTTCCAAGCCAGGAAGATGGTCTGAGCTACTCAGGAGGTTTTATAAGAATGGACAGGCCCAGACATCACCCTCAGGGATTCTGGTTAGTTCTGAGCTGGGGCCCAGTGATCCGTGTTTAAAAATTAGCTTCTAATGACTGGCGAGGTTTGGGGAGTTCTGCAGAAGCCCCAGGAGCTCACATAAGGAGGGGAGAGCAGCACCAGATGGATCCCAGAGAGGAAGGGCCACAGTTTCACTTTCCAGCTGTGGGAAGACTGGGATGTGTTTGAAGAGGATGTGGTAATGGGAATAAAGGACGCAGCCTGCCAGGGGGAGACTAACCCTCAAGATAAAGTTGAACCAGTGAGGGCCTGTTCCCACAGAGCCAATGGGCATCTTGAGGTCAACTGTCTTCTAGAAGCCCTTGATTAGGCTAATCTCTCCCCAAAGAAATCGCTGTTATTGAGCTGAGGCAGGGCAGTCCTCTGATCCAGCCTGAGAACCCCCAGGGTTCTGGATAAGTCCCAATTTTGGGGTTCTGATCACTTAGGGTCCTGGATTATAGTTTCTCATGTCCATGATTTGTTTTCCCTCTGGACTGTGAGTTTTCTCCAACTGGGAGCTCTCTCTGCATCAGTACCCAGTACAGAGCCTGGCCCAGAGTCTGTCTCAAGAAAGGATAGAGGGAGGCAGGGGTGCTGGGAGGGAGGCAAGGACTAAAGTGGTACTTTTCTGTTGGAAAAGTCCTTTTTGCACCCCTCTTAGCAGTACAACCACCCTGGCAAGTGTGTTTTTCCAGCCTCTCCTCCTGCCCTGTCCTCTCTGGCCTCCCAAATCCAATTGCCCTGAACAAATGTCCACTCTGTTCTTCACACATGGTCTACCTATGATGGACACTCTGGTCCCCTTTCTTAATCTATAAAATTAAGCTTTGTATTATCTTATTTTCAACTTTCTGCATTTGCTCATCTTTGTACAATGGCATGACTTGCTTTTGATAACTAGCTAGCTAGATTTCCATCCATCAAGGGCTAACTCAAATGCCACCTCTCCCAGGAAGAGGTGCTCTGCTTTCTCCAGTCAGCTGAAATAGCTCCCACCTCTTAATTACCACTATGTGTCAGCTGGTCTTGAAAGATGGCCCCAATGAGCCACGTGTCCTATAAGGTAGTCCCTCCCCTTGAATCTGGGCTGATCTCTGGCAGCTTATAACAACAGAATGCAGTGAGGAGGACTGACTCCCAGACTGGCATAGAGGCCTAGCAGCGTCCACTGGGTCTCTAGGAGCCAGAGGAAGCCAGCAGCCATGCAAGGAATCAGTCACCACATGCAAAGTCTGACTAGCTGAGATCACACAGGCCAGCAACCTGGAGAAATTACGTGGAGAGAAGACCCTCCCACAGGGAGAAGACATTCACTCCAGCAGAGTCCTAAGATGACCCCAGGCCAGACCATCATCCGATTGCAATTGCTAGACAGACCCCAAGTGAGAACCTCCCAGCAGAGCCCACTCAATCCTCAGAACCATGACAGAGAATGATAAATAATTATCTTAAGCTGCTAAGTCAGGAGCCACTTATTAACCAGCAATAGATCACCAGACACATGAATTTTACCCTGAATGGGATCAGACAGTGAGAGATGGCAAGTGCTCATGGTGTTAGAGAAAACGGAGGGAGGGAGGAAGGGTGAGTGACTATGGAGAGGCAACGAGTTTCTCCAGGACCCGCATTAAATAACTATAGGAGACGAAGCCAGAAATTCCCTGCTCCCAGCCCAGAAACTAGAAGAAACCAGAAAAAACACAGTCCATGTCCCTGGCAGGGAGGCAGCACTCACCGGACAACATCCACTGCCCCTGGCCGGACCTTGGGATCACTGCCCATGATAGACACGCTGGCCGCAAAGGACCCATCGATGCTGAACACCACGCACTCCATGCCCCGGGGCAGCACCGTGAGGTAGCTCATCGCACAGGTCTGGTCGCCCCTGAAAGGTACCCACCTATGGTCAGTCGTGCGCCATGTTAGGTGTCTGCCTGAGGCCAGAGATCCACCTGCAGTTGGGTCAGAACTCAGCTTAGGGCCAGGGGCAGAGAGAATCTGGGTGGCATCTCCTGATGTCCCTGCTGATGACCCATCCTTTTTCTCCTTTCCACACAGGCAGGGATGGGGTCCAAAGGAAAGCACGCCATCTTTGGACCAGCCTGGCTGAATGAAGCCACCACGAGAGTGTCCCCTAGGCCTTACCTGACAACCATCTTCACGGGGTAGACGCCGACCCCCAGGCGCCGGGGCCGAGGCACACTGTACGTGATGCGGCCACTGCTGTTGGTGATCTCTGTGTCCAGGTGCACCCAGCGGCCCGAGGACGGCTCCGCCATCACCAGGATGTCCACCTGCAGTGGTAACAGGGCAGGGAACTCACTGAAGGCCGGTGGGGGTAGGGGGGCACTGGAAGGTTTGGCTTAAGGGCACAACTGGGGAGCCCTCTGCAAGACAGAGGCTTTGGGGTACTGCCTGACGATGCCTCCTCTCTCTCTGCAGCCTCAGCGACTTCGCACTCCTCAGAAGCCTCAAGCTCATCCCTCCCTCCTTGCTTGTCCTCCTGGCCTGCATGCCCATGCTCCCACACATAGCCAGCCCTCCCTCGGCCCCAGCCTAGGCCTGCCCCGTGTGGTACCACAGGTACCTGGTGCAAGTGGGATGGGTCAAGGAGAGGATGCCCCGGCCCGGGTACCTTCTCTCCAGTCAGAGCCACCATGTCCAGAGGCCCGTACATGAACCGCCCCACCAGCACCTGTGGGCCATCTTCAGCCGCGATCACGTCATTGGCCCGATGGTTAGCCGTGACGTTCTGGGGGGAAAGAAGCCCGGTCAACCTTTGCAAGTCAGCTTGACCTTGATTTTTCATTACATTGTGTTTAGGATTGGCAGGGGCATGTGGATCTGCTGAATTATGCCTTCAATTTACTTCCATTAGACCTTCAGATACATGTTCCCATAGAACCCACGAGAACAGAGGCGGCTTAGACCCACGAGAACAGCCGCAGCTTAGATGCTTGATGCTGTCTCCAAGGAGCTCTGGGGTTCCTGTAGATGTGCGTTCTCTGCTCTTCACTCGCCCACACGGCCCTCTGATGACAGTCCATGCTCACAGCCCATTCTTCTAGGTCCTGGGCTGGAAACTGCCGGGTCAATTTTGGTTCTTTTGGTTCTTCCACATCCCAGCTCAAATCCAATGGCCATTTAGCAGCCATCTTTTCTCAGTGGGAGATTGAAATGTACAAGAGTAGAGAGAACAGTGCAGCAAAACCTCAAGTGCCAACACAACTCATGGCCCTTCTGGTTTGTTCTTCCTTTGCTCAGTCCCCCAACCCCACCTCACCCCAAATGACTGCAGATCAATCCTGAGCATCACATCTTTTATCTATAAGTAAAAAAACATCCCATCCCTCTTCACTTCTGATTTCAATTCATTCCATAGCATGAAGGCCTCTGTTGGCCCTGACCTCCCACCTTCTCAGCCTGGGTGCAGCACCCAAGTCACTCAGCCTGCTGCCCCTTCCTTCACAGAGTTGTCACATGGCGTGTCTCCTGACACCCACGTTACCTCCCATCTAGGCGCTGATAATGGCATCTTAATGGAACTCCTCATCCAAAAGTACGCTCCACAGGAGATGCATCATTTTATAAAACCCAGATCTGTTGACACCTAGTGCCCAATGGTGAGGTTCAAATCCTGAGCTCATCATCAAAGCCTCTTTCATGTGGGTAACCTCGTCTATCTTGCCTCCTGCAGCTCCCCTCTTACATCTTTCTGGGTCTTTTAGGCCAGAGCAGTGGCCCCCCCAGGGCTTTGCTCACACTGGGCCTCCCACTTTCCATGTCATCCCTGGCCCTCAGCCCCCACATACTAGCCCAGCCACTAGGACCTAACTTTGCAAGAAACACTCTCAGATGCCCCAGAGAAGGTCTATCTCCCCTCAGTGCCCACCTATTTTAATTTGATTCCCTAAACATGTGCAGTCACCTCTTCTGCACTGGTCCCCGAGCTGGGAGGCAGGCAAACCCTCCCCTCTCATTGCTGGACATAGGACTCAGGCCCTCTTGTAAGAACACAGAAGAGGGAAGAGTTGATTCATGGAAATAAGCTCATGGAAAGGTGCTTGTCATCACTAGTCATCAGGGAAGTGCAAATCCAAACCACATGAGATACCATCTCACACCATTGGGATGCCCAGAATCAAAGGCAGACAATAACAAGTGTGAATGTGGGTGTAGATAAATTGGAACCTTCATGCACTACTGGTGGGAATGTAAAATGGTGCACTGCTTTGGAATCCAGTTTGGCAGTTCCTCAAATGGTTTAACTGGGGTTACCATTTGATCCAGCAATTCTACTCCTAGGTATATGCCCAAGAGAAATGAAAATGCATGTCCACACAAAAAGTTGTACATGAATATTAATGGCAGCATTATCTTATTAGACAAAAGGTGGAACCAACCCAAGTGTCCAATAACAGGTGACTGAATAAACAAAGTGTGGTATAACCATGTGATGGAATATTATTCAGTCGTAAAAAGGAGTGACATTTTGATACATGCTACAAAATGAATGACCTTGAGAACACCATGCCAGGGAAAAGAAGTCAGGCACAAAAGACAGCATGTTGTATGACACAATTTATATGAAATATGCAGAATAGGTAAATCTATAGACATAAAGAGTATATTACTGATTGTTTAGGGCTTGGGAGAGTAGGGATAGGAGAAAGTTAGCTAAAGGATTAGTGGTTTCTTTTTGAGGTGATGAAAAAATTCTAAAATTGACTTTGGTGATGACTTGCTAACATCTATAAATGAATACACTAAAAGTCCGTTGAATTTTTCACTTTAAGTAGGTTAATTATATGACATGTGATTATATCTCAATAAATATGTTTATCAAAAACAAGTTGATTCATGGAGCATCAATCACCATCTACCTTTTAGAACTATTGTTGGGGTCCATGCCTGATTTCCCATGAGATTGGGAATGCCCACCACAGCAGTGGTTGTGTCTGCAAATCACTATGCTCCACTCTTTAGCAGAGGGCCTGGGACAGAGCAGGCACAGAGGATTATTTGCCCAGTAAATAAATGAATGTAGCCATACCAGACTCCTATTCATACTTCAATACCCTACAGAGAGACTCTTCTTCAGGAAATCCCTACTTCTGGCCTACTCTGAGAATCCTTCTTTCCATCTTCTGCCTAATCTGTGCCTCCATTTTTCTTTTTTTTTAAAAAAAAGATTTATTTGATTGATTGATTGATTGATTGATTTATACAAGCATTGGGTACAGTCAGAAGCGTGGGAGGGTGAGAGAATTCACCAGAGCCAGAGCAGGGAGCAGAGCAGGCAGAAGGACTGAAGTACACTGCTGAGGGGAGCAGCGGGCGGCAGGAGAGGTCTGCACGCCATGTGGGACCCTCCTCCGGTGGCCGGGGAGCAGCCGGGGATCGAACCGGCGCTGCAGAGGCTGCGGGCAGCTTCGCAACCCAGCGCTCAACCGCTGCGCCACCGGGGTGTGCCTCCCTTTTTCATGGCAAATACCCCACCAAGCCATATTCAACATTGAGTCAGGTGGTGATTGCTATGGTAGTGAGCAGGATGAATCCCTGCATGTGTGAGCACTTAGCTCTGGGGGGCAAATCAAAGATCTTTGCTGCCAAGTGGACACCCCAGCCCCTGGGGCAGCCCCACCTCCTTAAGTCCCCAGCCACCTGGTACACGACCCCAGCTTGCACATACCCGCAGCTTGACCTGGGTCCTCTTACGAAGCCACTTCTCACGGGGGTTAGCAGGGCTCAGTGCTGCAGGATCCAAGCCAGCGCTCTCTTTGACATTCACACTCTCATAACGCATCACCTGATAGAAAGCAGGGCTGCACATCAAGCCATCACACGCATTCTCCCTCCTTCCCAGGGTGTCAGGGCCCACCAGACTAATGACAGCTAGGCCCTCCTCCAGGCCTCCCAACCTTCCAACCTGGAACCTCAGGAGCTGGCAGTCCTAGGACCCCAGGAACCCTCTCCTGATAGCTGGGGTCAGAGAACATTATCTCCCAAATGCTCTGCGTGGGAACAGCCTCCACGCACCTCCTCCCCTGCCTAAACCTAGCAGCCTCCTGGGTCTGTGCCCATGCTCTGCCTCCCCCTCTGTCACAGCAAGTGACCTTCACCGAGGGCCACATGGAGCCCTGACCCCAGCCCCTCCCACCTTCTCAACAACATTGTTCCGGCAGCGCTCCCCTCTCAATCCTCAGCACTGATCATTCCCCTGGATCACGTGTTAGCCCCCAAATATGCTGTAATAGTGCCATTGCAAAAATGTCCTCCCAGGAGCCCCAGAGCTCTCCAGTATCATCACATTTCTCTGCTTTCCTGCCAGCAACATTCCACAAAAGCTTTACTCTATGTTCTGCCTCTACTTGCCACCTGCCCTCCTCACCCCCAAGTCTGCAGATTCTGTTTAGCTTTCTAGAAGCCAGCGTTCTTTATGGTACTCATTGTCTGGCCATGCGGCTTCCACTTGGGGAAGTGCCTTCCCAAGACCCAAGCTGAGTCTATCCTCCAGACATGGGAGGACAGGTGCTCCAGAGGCCCCAAGAGGGCAGCAGTACCTGTCTCAGGATGAAGGCCACCACGTCTGTGGACTCCCAGTAGCTGGCATGGAAGAGGTGGGGCAGGGCCACAGTGGGGAAGGCTGTGAGGACATCGGGGCAGTACAGGGCGTAGTCGATGCGCTTGGCACCCCACCACTTGGCGGTGACTGCAGTTCAAGAGGAGATGAGGATAGGGTGGCCTGCCCGGGGCCTGGACCCAAGGCTCAGTTGGGAACCCCACTGCACAGACCCCATGGTGGACATGCCACTGAGGAACAAGTTTGGGCCAGAGCACCCAGTTCAAAATAAGCTGTTTTTCTCCATCCAACCCACCCCACAACCCAGCAGCCCACTCTGCCCAGACACCCCTTCTGTAGGATGTGTGCCACAAACTGCTCCCCAGGAATGGGACCAGGCCCATGGAGATATCAGGTTTCACCCTATGGCTCCTGGTGAGCAGGGACTCCCCATGGAAAACCAGGCCCTACAATTAGGGCTCTGGCCATGGTCAGAGCTCAGTCCAGTCCTGGAGAGGTCGTGGCTCTAGCCACAGTCAGAGGTGAGGGCCCTGCCCCAGGGTCAGAGGTCAAAGTTCTCTCTGAGGTCAGTTCAATCTGGATTTCCTTCACCCTCCTCCCACCGGAGGTCCGCCCTCCACAGCCCTGGGTGGGGCATCAGCAGCCACCCACAGGAAGCTCCCTCTCCCTGGAATCCAGGCAGGTAGGACGCCAAAGACCCCCACTCACTGCGGGAGGCGCCCTCAGGTGCCAGGCTGTCGGAGGAGTCTGAGCTGTCGCTGTGGGAGCTACCCTGGCTCATCCTCCGTCCCAGGCGCCGGGACCTCAGGGCCTGAGGAGGCGAGGCAGGGGTCTCCAGGAGTGGCGGGCTGCCCCGGGAGCTGCCCTCCAAGAAGAGGGAGCTGTGGGTGTGCAGGGCATCAGCTGGAGGGGGAATGGCACAGTCAGGCCTGGTGGTGTGTCTCAGCTAGAGCTGCCCGTGCTGCTGAGCCGACAGCAGACCAGGAGGGAGGCTGGGTGCTCAGGAAGGAGTCCCCGGCCCTCTCACTCACCGTCCAACAGGCAACCTGACCCTCTCCCCCGGCCCGGGGGGGGGCCCATCACCATAGGACTTTACTGGATTTCACCTCACCTAGTCTGTGGGTTATACCAGCATGAGCCAGGGTCCCCACCACCACCCCCACCACCAATAGAACTGCCAAGGGTGTCTCCGGAAGATTTCCCCCAAATCTTCCTCCGAAAGATTTCATGGGAAATCACAGGGTGACCCCTGTGATACAAGACCACATGCTCTTGTATCAGACTCCCCTCCTGAACCACCAAGGATCGTGGAGGAGCAGAGAAGTGAATGGGGTCTGCAGCCGGGGAGCAAGGGCAAACCCTGGGGGCAAGAGGATGCCCTGACAAAAAAGGGGTGCATTTTAGGATGATTGACAGTTTTTGAGTATCTCTCATGCATCACAGCTCCTGACATAGCAGGACTTTGTAAATGAAGGGTCCATTGAAATGGGTGGGGCTGGTTTTTAATCTGGAATGAGCCATATGCATAGCTCCCCTCCCCAAACCCAGTCCAAACCTCAGCACAGGCTCAGGTTAAACCTCCACTGAGCTTTGGAGCTAAGGATCTGATCTCCTAATCCCTGACTTCTTCACAGGCCTCCCCTTGACCTTACCCTACTTCAGCCTGGCTCACCCCACAAGAGCTCCAGAGGTCTCCAGCCCTTCCTCAGACCCCCCTGTCCTCAATGCCATGGTTCCTTCCATCTAGACGATCCCCCCAATCCCACCTACCAGCTCTTCTCCACCTGCTCAAACACCTTGGTTAAAGGACTCCTCTTCCATGAAGCCCACTAGGATGAGACACTTCTAGCCCTATACCTCCAGAGTCCAGGCTGGGCACTGGGGACTAGCATTCAGCATGGATCCCTGGACTTGCAGTCAGGGTTGACAGCTTGAGTTTTATGAGGACCAGCCATAGGACCTGGTCAGGGGGCAGAACCTGGGTCTCTACAGAGCAGGTACTCACACAGGTGAGTTGCTCTGAAGGTGGTAAGGCAGCTTTTTCCTGTTCTCTTCTCCCCCAAGAGCATACACACCCTGCTGGTTGGGTCTAGTCACTCCATCAGCTGACAGCTCAGAGGGCCTGGACCAGAAATGGTGGCCCAGAATGCCTGCTGGCAGGGGCCCGCACTCTCTCAAACCCCCAAGAGCCTACCGAGGAGGAGGGACTGTCCGTCGCCCAGTGGGAACCTCTGATAGCGGGGTACGCTGACAGGTGGCACCAGGTGGAATGTGGGTTCCAGCAGTGGCTCAAGCCGCGAGGCAGAAGGGTCTGCGCAGTGGAAGAAGCTATAGACCTGGCTGCAGGCAGGACGCACCTGGAGACCTGGGGGTGCAGGAACACGTGGAAAGTCCCTTGCTAGTACCTAATCCCCTCCCCCTAAGAGCCCCCTGGAATACGGCCTTGAGGAGCTTATTCCTCTGCTTAAGAACCCACCACAGTTCTCTGCCACCAACAGGATCAAAGCCATTATGTTCAGTTGGGCATTCAAGCCTTCACCAGTGTGCCCCACTTCCGAGCACCGCGACGGGCACCCAGCCCTGCAGCCGTGGGGGACATCTGCCGCCCCCATCAGGCTTCTGCTTCCCTTTCTCTGGGCCGTCCCTTCTTCCTAGTAGGTCCTCCGTCCCTGTTTCCACTAGTCAAATGACTTTAAATTCTCCCAATTTTCACTTATTTGCTACCTGATCTATGAAACTGACCAGCGTCTTTGAGCCAAGAAAACTGCCCCTTTGTCCCACCCCACGCAAAGCCTATGCCTGGTGGTAAAGAGCTTGACAGAGCCCGCAGAACACTTCTCTCAGAGACCAGCAGGTGTCTCCACTGAGGGCGCCACGCCATCCTGTGCTTCCCTCTCTGGGTAGTCAAGAGACTGGAAGGTTCAGCACCCGGGGAGCCCTAGGGTTCCTTAGAGAGAGGAAGGGCGGACATGGGGTTCTGCCTTCTCTCCCCACTTCAACCAGAGCCTCTTCCTTTTCATCTGTTCCATATTGCAAGTTGTTGGTAAGTTTTGATACAAAAGAAGTTTGAGGAGCTGTGGTCTGTTGCTCTCCCAGGTGTCTCCAGACTGTTGCACTCCCAGATCATTGCTAAATCATTGCTGGTGCAAATCGCCTCAGCGTGGAGTAGGGGGAGGCATTCGCGGCTACAGGGGCTGCATGAGGAGAGGCCTGGGTATATGCAGAGTCGGTGAGACCTACCTGGCTGCAGTGGGTATGCCTGGGCGCCGGGAAGGAGGGGTGGGTGCAATAAGGTAAATGCTTATAGCTTATCTCTGCACAGAGCACAGCAGCCAGACAAAGGGGCCACAATTCATTCAGGAGCACATGGCAGGGGTACCTCACTTTTGCCTCACCTGGGGAAACTGGCCTCTCACATTCCTCTCTCCTCCTTTTCCTTCCTTCTCTTTCTCCCCATCTACCCCAATTCCTGCTCCTGCCCCTCACCCCCTTCTCTCCCCACTTTGAGGAACTGACACCACATCCAGGTGACACAAAAGTATCTCAGGTCCCAGCCCATGCCACACGCACCATCCAGTCCAGGCAGCACCGTCCTCCGCATGGCCAGGACCAGGCCCAGGGGTGAGCCAAAGAGGAAGAAGTCGGACACATCAAAGTCCAGGCGGCTCAGGCTGGCCTCTGGGAGCTGGGGGCCCCCAGCTACAGGGGGCTCGGCTTCATCCTTCAGCACACTGGAGTGGATACTGCCAGAAGGGGGACATGGAGGGCAGGTTAGGGCAGCGCTGAGGCCATGGGGGGGTTCACCTAGTAGGGCAGCCTGAAGTCAGCAGATGGAGCCCAGGCCTCCACCTGTGGGCAGGACTCAGAACTGGAGGCCATTCTCTGGACCCATCACAAGGTGGTGACCATGTCAGCCCTGACCCACATGAGGCTGCAGCAGGGGGCTGCTCGCTTTTGTTCTAAAGGGCCAGGTGGCAAATACGTTAGACTTTGGGGCCCTAGAGCCACCAGCACATCTACAGAATGCTTCCATTATAGCACAAAAGCAACCCTAGATGACACTTGACTCAATATGCATGACAGCAAGCCAGTGAGAATTTATTCACGAATATGGGCTGAGATCACCTAAGCATCCTCCTGCTGGCAGGCCTGCCCCATCGTGCGGTGTCAAGATGGCCACACTGTGAATCCCTGCTCTGTATACAGGGGAGTCCAGCCTGGACAACAGACCCACTAACTGGATGACGTCAGTCCTGCCAGGATTAGCGTTTTCATCGTAACTCATATTCCAGGCATCGCGCAAACACAGATGCAGACAGCTTGGTCTTCCCTCTCCTTCAGCTTACAGATGAAGCGGAGTTTAAAAAGAAAAACATGAGACATAGAATTTAACCATTCCCATGCCACATATCCACTGATGTTTCAAGTGGGTGGGCAGCCACACCCCAGAACGAGTTGTCCAGGATAAGCAGGAATACTGGGGCCCTCCCCGACCTGCCAGCTAGCATGAGGCACAGTGCAGAGCTGACAGCAACACGGCAGGGTGACATGATCTATGAATCGATGAACTGCACGCAAATTCAGTGGAAATACTCAAGTTGGAGGAGAAGGGGGTGGCAGAAATCATTAAGAGAGTGTGGGCAAGCCCCCCCCACCCTCCGTGAGGGGCCATCTAGGGGTTGCACCTTCAGTCTCGAAACCCCTCCTGCATCTGGCAGTGTGAGCATCTCACAGCGAGGACACTGACTCTGTTTAACGATACACATTCGTGTACAGCGTGGCCCCTAAACACCCGCCAACTACTTAATTGCCAAAGAAACAGCCATCTGTCCCTACACCAGCGGGCAAAGCTGGCTGTCTTCGACCAGCTACCAAAAGCCTCCAACTTGTCACTCTCCAAATGTGGGGCTTTCTCAAAGGATCTTTCAAGGATGAACCAGAAATACTGGGATTTCACCTTGCAACCCTGATTGAATGCAGTTGCTTTTCTGAATGATAACTTGTTAAGGGGCTTTAAATAGTCAGAGATTTAAACATGCAGCGCCTTTGACCTAGTAATCCCTCCCCCGGGAACCAGCCCAACAAAATAACCCAAATATATACATCAGCGTGGATGTACAAGATGGTCACTCACTCCGGTTTAATTACAGTGGGTCTGTTGAGGAACTGGAAACCGTCAAAGCATCCGATTACCAGGATTAGGTAAGATGTTGGCCATGCGCTCAGTAACATATTATTAAGAACAGTTCCCAAGTATGTTTAGTTATATGGGGGGGGAGGGGAGTAATCACAAAATAGGATTTTTTAAAGTAAAACTATATGCAAAGCATGAAAAGATAAAGAAAGAAAAGAATCCAAAAGGTGAACAGTGGTTCCCTATGGGTGTGAGATGATGTCTTTCCGAAAGTTCTGATGACCTCAGTACACTTGTTGGCTGGGTAAGAAAGGAGGGCGGCAAGGAGGAGAGAATTGAGGAGAGCAGAAAGAAGGAAGGAGGCACTCCTTCCCCTTCGGGGCTATGCCCCTTTGGCTCCTGAATAAACGTGCAAACAACTCATTTAACCAGTGTGCGTGAACACGTCTCTTCGAGGAAGTTAAGGGGGGCAGTTCTGCGGAGGGTCTGCTGGCTCCGAATGTGTGTGGTGTATAGAAATGGGGATGGAGGGGCCGGAATCTGCCCAGCTCTTCAATGCCTGGCTGCGGATCCCTACTCAGCCTGCTCCACCTCTGTTGCCATCTGAGTAATAAGAACACAACCTAGGGGAGGGGCCTCGGGACGAACACCTACATCTGTTTCATCTAGTTCTTAAGACCTCCGTGAAGTAGGCTGGGTAGACCTTACTCTTGATCAGAAGACAGTGCTGGGGCTCAGAGAGGGACAGTGGCTGTCCTTGGTTGTCTGCAAGCTGGGATGAGCAGGGATGGAGCACAGGACCCTCGGGGTGGCCTTGGTCCCAGCATCCTGGTGCTTGTCCGCAGGCCCCGTGGGCAGGCTTGGGACAAACGATTGGTCACAGGCCTCCCAGATGACCCTAAGCCAATGTCTTCTCTCTCTTGGACTCTTGGCTGGAAGGCAGACAGAGCAGGGCGGGTGGAGGGGGGGCAGGAGAGGTGGATACCTAGATAGGAAGGCGTGATGCTGGGTGATGGCCTCACAGTCATAGGTGGAAGAGTCGCTCTGTTTCCTTGGTAACGGCCTCTTGGGCTCCTCATCCTCTAACGCGCTGGAGACATCAATGCTGCTTTTGCTGAGACGCTTGGTGCTGGCCAGGCTGCACTCCTCCTCTGCTAGAATAGGGGTATCCTTTGGGGCCAAGCAGAAGAAAGGAAGGCACTGTGGTCACCAGGGATTCTGGGGTCCCACCTTCATCCCCAGACACCAACGAATGCTTTTCCTAGGTGTGAGAGGCAATAGCTCCTCTAAGAAGAGAATGGAAGCCACAATGCAGGAATGGGGACGTCAGGCCTCCTGCTGCTTCCAAATGGATCAGGGACCCAGTGGGACTCTGACCAGCTGTCTAGGGATCAGACCCCAAATTAGCCTCTTTGCAGCTCGGTTTCCTCACCTGTGAGAATACTTTCTTGCTGCTCCTGTAGGATTGTGAAATAATCCTGGACTTCAAGGGATAAAAGCAAAGGCCCTCTGAGGGGCCCCTGGGGTCAGGAAGGGGAACTCCAAGGCAGCTCCCACCCCCATTCCCACCATCTGGCCCTCACCTGGGTGCTGCTGATGCTCCCCTTCCGGCTGCTGCTGCCAGGGCTGTCGCCCGAGGGCCCCGCACTGTAGCAGATGGCATCGAAGGCCAGGAGGCCCCCCACACAGTCTCCAATGAGACATACCTGGAGAAGGCACAGATGGAACTTCAGGCTTGGCCCCCACTGCCCTCACCCCCACACCCAGCCAGAGCACAGTCACCTGTCCACAGAGAATAGGGAATCTGTCCCCAGAGCCACTGAGAGCCCCGACAGGGGAGGGATGCTCAACCTGGCACTAGGATCAACCTGAGGACAGGAATCAGGCCAAGATCATGGGTCAGAGTTAGGTCAGGAATCAGATGGGCTCAAAATTAGACTCTGATTGTTGGCCTCAGTTTTCTAATCTGTAAAATGAGGACAAACCCAAAGATCTCAAAATCCTCCTTTGATCTCAGAAACTGTGGCTTCAGAACAGCCTGGTCTTGATGGCTCCAGCAGATCCAGGCTCTCTCCCGGCAGGGACCGGAACAGGGAGGCAGGGCAGGCTATCCTACCTGCCCACTGAAGCCAATCCCGTCAGGGGACTTGAGGAACTCTCCGTAGACCTGGTTGGCTCGCTCGATGACAGTGGCAACTGCATCCTGGTACTGCGGGGAGGAGATAGCCAACAGGGGCAGGGCGGCCAGAGGAACGTGGTCCTGGCTGTTGCTGAGACAGCCCTCATCGTGGCTGTAGGGGTTCAGGCTGCAGACAGGAAGCCAAAGTAAGCCGAGCTGGGATCAGGGAGGTGGGCAGGTTTAGGGCAGCTGGGATTAGGACTGGGCAGAAGAAAACACGGACTGGCCAAGAAGCGGGCCTTCAGCTAGAGAGCACTTCAAGAGGACCCAGGCAGGAGCCAGACTAGACCAAGCGCAGGCAATGGAAGGGAATGTGGGGGGGAGGAAAGAGGAAGCCAAGCCTATACCCATCCCCACCCCCGCACCCATGCCAGATACAAGTAGGTACTGGGGTCTCCTGTGCCAGCAGTGCTCTCTCCATGTTCTGCATGACCCCCGAGGACACCTCCAATTAGGGAGGAAGCCTGGGGTGGATCAGAGTGGGGACATATCATCATGGCAGAGTTCCTGGAGGCGGTGGCATTTGACCTAGTCCTCAAGGAAGGCTTTGAGGAACGTAAGAAAGGAAGCCAGAAGGTAAGCTAGGCATGGAATCATTTGTTGGTCATAATTTGAAGGTGAACACATAGCTATATGCATGATATTATGCCCATCTTTTAAGGGAGAGAATCCAGAGCCTTCATTTGGTTTGCAAAAAAGGCTAAAAGAGTCTCCTATAAAATCCCCACTACCAGTGGATTGCCCAGCCCCTGCATGGGGGCTTTCCCCACTGGGAAGTTCCCCCTCTCTGCAAACCTCAGACCCATCTAAGACCAGCTCAAAGCAACCTGGCCCAGCCCCTAGCCCACCCACCCTGCCTCTGTCCTCTGGACCAGCTGGCCAATAGGGACTGCCAAGGAGGCCAGAACTCCCCACCTTCCTGCCCCATACACAGAGCCTGCCCTTCCCCAAGAGTCTCAACACAGACTGATCCAGGGCTCAACACTCCCAGGGGACCTGACAAAAACTGAGGCAGCTGACAGGACTCAGAACACCCTGGACAGGTGGCAGAGACCTCACAGTGTGCAAGACCAGTCCACAGTCATTCTTCATCTCCAAAGAACACAAATTAGAGGAAACAGGCCTCGATTGCAGCCGGAGAGATTTTAATTAGCCAAGAAAGAGCTCCCTCCCAGCAGTGATTAGGGGTGATTGATGGCCCAAGCAAGGAGCGACCTGGGGGAGAGGCAAGTTCCCTACTGCTGTCCCCTCAAGTGGCTTCCATCTTCCTGGAGATGGGGCCTGGGTTGGAAGTTCAGCTGTCCTGGGGATAAGGTTTGTGCATGTTGTAGGGAGGCGGCGGGGTGGGGGGGAGGTATGCTAAGATTGATTATAAGGAACACAATTAACTCCCAACCATTAGAGCTGCCTTCGGCGCTGCAGTCCCAAATCCCACTGCAGAGCAGAAGCAGGAGCAATTGGTAAAGATACAGATTCCAGGGCCTTCTCCCCTCGGATTCAGATGCCCCAGAGGTAAGGCCTGACTGCCTTGCAGTTTAACAAGAATCACACCAGGGATATGAGCTATTAACCAGGTTTGGGAACCACTGATCTAATCTCCTTCCTTCCTTCCAACTCTGATTGAGATCTGCCCTGCCCATCTCCTAGGAACACAGATCATTAAAGCCAAGGCTCTGCTCCCAACCCAGAGGGCAAAGAAATCTCTCATTTCTCTCGCCCAAGGGAAAAGTGAGGTCCCTGCAGGCTTCCCATGCTCTCTCCTAACCAGGCAGAGGCTATGGGCATCCTGCCTTCCCCATGCTGAGCCCCATTTGACTATGAGTTCTGCTCCCCTTCTCCAGGGGACTGGTACCAGGCTGGGCACTCCCTTTCCATGGACTCCAGGCCCCACATTAGTGAGGGTACCTTACTACAGATGCCTCAAGAGTGGACATGAAAGGGAGAGGGACAAGGTCACCCTTGCATCCCTAACTAAAGAAAGTTCCCAGTTTCCAGTCCCAGCTATCTGGCACATGCGCTGGTAGACTAGGCCCTGCAGGTGCTGGGGCATCTTGCCCACTATTCATGAGGATAGGATGCCACCTGGCTCCAGGCATCCACCGTCAGCTAGCTCACACAGCAGGCCCCTGGAAGCACTGAAGCCAGGGATCCGGGACCAGCTGACCTGATCTCCCAAATGCCCCAGATCTCCCACAGGGCCAGTGTGGGCCCTGATCTCCCAGCTTATCCCACAGGAACCAGGTGGATGGAGAACCAAAGCTGGGGAGCATGCTGCCTTCCTCTCCCAGGCTCCCTGCTGGGAGTAGGGATCACCTCTCACAACAGAGAGCAGGCCCCTGGAAGCACTGAAGCCAGGGATCCGGGAGCAGCTGACCTGATCTCCCAAAGGCCCCAGATCTCCCACAGGGCCAGTGTGGGCCCTGATCTCCTAGCTTATCCCACAGGAACCAGGTGGATGGAGAACCAAAGCTGGGGAGCATGCTGCCTTCCTCTCCCAGGCTCCCTGCTGGGAGTAGGGATCACCTCTCACAACAGAGAGCGGCACAGCTAACCCCAGCCCTGTTCTTCCTATGTGCCGGGCTCTGTATAGGTGCTTTACATACATCAGCATAGAAGCAGGAGGTAGTTATTATTATGATTATCCCCATTTTACAGATGAAGAAGCTGGGGTGGGGAGAGATTAGACAACTTCCCCCAGGTCACACAGCCAGGATTCAAACCCAGGCTGACCAGAGAGCCCACACACCTAACCATGGTACACTATTCTCAAAGCATAATCAAAAGTCATCTCCTCCGGGAAGTCTTCCCCGGCCCCTCTCTCTGGGTATCCACAGAGAGGATCCCTGTGCCACCTCCATAAGAGCACACATTCCCGCTGGGCTCTAATTGTGTGACTGTTGGATTTGACTCCAGGCTCCATTCGCTGGGTAATCCTGGGAGAAATTGTTTAACCTCTCCATGTCCCAGCTTCATTATCTGGGCCAACGAGACCGGGGCCTATGGTACACAGGAAGTGGACCTGAGCTATGCTGGAGCCCCAGACACAGGAGGACTGCAAACCCAAGTGCTCATAGCTTTGGATCCTTGCTGACCACTTCCCACCAGTGATCGGTCTGGTCTGTCAGCATTTGATGGGCACATACACACCTGCCCACCAGGTATCCACATGACAGGGCAGGACCTCAACTTAACACCCCCCACCCCCACTAACTCAGGAGGTCCAGACAAGAGAAAGGGACTCACTTAGAGACGAGTGAGAAAGCCTCAGAGCAGATGGCAGGACAAGGGACGAACTTGATGAGGATGTGCCCCAGGGCAGCAGGGAAGTGGGCACGCATGACCTTCTCCAGCACGGAGGTAAAGGTGTGGATGTCAGATGCCTTGCAGGAAGGGTCTCCCGAGCCGGTGTCCAGGATGTTCCCCCCGTGCAGCACCAGCAGGAGGACGTGCGTCTTGCAGGTGCGCTGCTGGCAGCCTTCCTGAGAGGGACATCAGTCAGGATAGAGACAGGTAGCAGGGGTCGGGGTGAGGCTGGGGCACACAGAATCACACACACAGGGGAACTGGGTCCTGTCAGTCTCAGCTCCCAGTCAGGCAGCTCTCCAGCCCCCATGTGATTGGGACCTCCTGGGTATTCAGGGTGAGTGGCACAGTCTGGCAGGAGGGCAAGCCCTTCCATGCAGTGCTAAGAGGCTCCCAAGAAATGCTCGTGTTCAGACGAGAGCCCAAGGCCAGGAAAGGCCAGGGACCTGTCCTGGGTCATACAGCAAGTCAAATGGAGAGCGAGGTGAAAACTAGGCAGCCTGACAACCAGAGTAGGGCTTGTCCCAGAATCCTGACCACCAGGTGGCCCAGACACCTTCAGAAACCTGGCCCACCTCATTGTCTTCATGGATCTCGATGCTTCCTTGGGCTGGGAACTTCTGTCTTCTCAAGGAAACCCGGTATAGTTCTCCTACAGAGGAAACAGAGGAGCACTCAGCCTGGGAAGTCTTCCCTCGGCCCGCTAGCCCATGAGTCGTGCGCTCCAGGGCAAGGCGAGGCCGGGGCTTACAGAGGAGCCCAGAAGATAGTGCAGGGCTTAGGAGTCACCTGCCTAGGCCCTGCCTTTGACATCAACACAGACAGAGCCCCCTTCTTCTCCTAGGAGAGGAACCCCAGAGATCATCACGGGCCTGCCCCTGAGCCCGGTGGGTGTCCTAGAGAGGAACTACCCCACTCTCCTTCCCCAATAGCAGCACTACCTTGGATGACTCCCACTTCCTGTTACAGAGGGAAATGTGGGCCGAGAGTCCTCTGAAAATGGCTAGAGCAGATGGATAATTTTTTGATATCTGCTTGACACTATCAGAGAGATCTCTGGCCTTCAGTCCTGGGGCAAGTGACCCTCAGAGAGTATAGGACCACACACATCATCACCCATGAACTTTGGGGCGAAGCTGGGCACTGCCAGAAACACTCTCCTTGCTTCTCAGCTGCCCAGACCCCACACCTCCTCCAGGAAGTACATTTGGCATCAGCTCCCTGAGCTCCCCTTCCTCCAGCACCAGGCTCAGCACATGCCAGCTAAATCCCGCCTACCACCTATTTTTGCAAATAAAGTTTTATGGGAACACAGCCAGGCTCTTTCATTTACGCATCATCTAAGGCTGTTTTTGTGCCTCAGCAGCAGATTTGAGCAGTTGCCAGAGTCCTTACAGGACTCTGAAAGCCCAAAATATTTACTATCTGGCCCTTTACAAGAGGTTCGTTGGCCCCTGATCTGACTTCTACTCTCAAGAATGTCACAGCTTTGGGCCCTCAGGTGGAGAGACCTAGAGGCCTCCAGCAGCCCCTTCGCCCACCCAAGGCCACCGGCCACCAGAGGACCCCTTCCTCCGCGCAGCCGACCCCGCCTCCTCTCCTTTTTCCCCCTGGACGATGGAATATTTCTTCTATGTGGCTGAACCGAACAGCTAGACTGTGAACCACTTGTTTGCTCCCAGGAACAGGGCACTCATTGATCTCCTAGAGCTGTCAGTTCCTGACAAGGACACATGTTTCCTTCTTCATAATCCACTCCCACCTCCTGCCCCCTCAGGAGTCACATCTGGGATGGACCCTTCCCCAAGCCTGGCAGGCCACACCACAGGAGGTGTGGGTGGGTGCCCTGCCCAGCACGTGTCTGAGTCCACATCTCCTCAGCTCCTGGGCCCCAGAGGAGGGCGCATCCACAAAGAATTCCAAATGAGCTTCTCTCAGCAGGGAAGCACATTTCTGAAATACTCCGTCCTCACAGACACAACCCTGGTCTAAAGGTAACTGCTTTATGAGCTCAAGCTGCTGCCCACACAGACAGGAAATCATTTCCTACATGATGGAGGGGTTTGGCTTGCAGACAGAGGAGGAAAAACTTGTTCTGAGGTCTGGCTCTACCGACAATCCTGCCAGTGGCTCAGAAATCTGCCCTATTTCTAACATCCTGTGGCCCCTGGCCTGGGCTTGGCTAAAAGATACTGCCTCCAGATAGGATCATAATAAAAGACAACAGCAGATTGCTTGATTTTACTGAGCATGTATTAGGTACCAGGCACTATGTGTTATAAGCATCATCTCATCTAGTGTTATGTGCATCATCTCATCTAGTGTTCCCAGTCCCTTATTATAGCCCCATTTTATAGATGAGAAAATGGAGGCTCAAACAATCCAGGTCACTTGCCCCCAGCCATACAACTAATCAGACTGAGCTGGCAAGTGAACCCAATTAAGAGGGCCCTCATCCAACAGAAGACGATGCTGGACAAAGTGCTCCCTACCCTTCTGACCTCCACATCTTCCCAGGGAGGTGGACACAACCACCCGTGGTGCAGGGGAAGAAATGGCTTTCATTTATAAGACTGTTTCATTGATAAGCGTTGCGTGGGGGACTGAAGTCGGGGTGTGCCTCCACACAACCCCTTTCCGCCTCACATGGAGCAGTTTGCCAGCAGGAAAGAGAATGTCCAGGAAGGAAGCCGAGTGTGGAACCCCCCACCCCCAGACTCCCTTGATAAGCAGTCACGCTTATGGTGCCTGTGGCCCACAGGCAGCTCTGGGCAGGTGGGCTAGGAGGAACCAACAGCAGGACGGGGCTGAGGTTGCAGGCGGGGAGCCAGGAGACCCTCACCTCTGGGGGTGGGAGGGACCTGATTGAAACCCTGGATTTTGCTGAGTTCGAATCTTGTCTCTTAATAGCAGTGTGACCTAAGATTCAGTTTCTCCTGCAGAATATGGTGATAATACTAGGAACTGCCCTCGAAGTAGTCATGAGAACACATGAGTTCCAAGGGGCTTAGGTCGGGGCCTGGAAAGTAATGCTCTATAAGTGTTACCATTATTGTTATTAGTTATCATTATCATCATCACCCAGGGTGCATGGGAGAGGCACAGGGCTGGGGCCACAGCTGAAACCACGGGGCTGGAGGCTGTTTTCCCCCTCCCCTTCTGGCTGCTTCAGTTCTGTAGGCAGCTGTCATGGGCTCGTTTTTTTAAGCCTATCTTTACCTGACCCTTACTTTGGTTTCTCTTTTAGCCAGAATCTCTTAATATCAACCCTCTATATTACCAAACTAATAGAACAAGGACAAGGCCGCCTCCATGCTCTCCTGCCCTGCCTCCAAGTCCCTCCCTGAGCCCTGGCAGGGTCCCAGGTCTCGCCGGGCTGGGTGCCTGCTTGCAGTGTGATTACAGGATTAAATGCTGTGATTGCCACAAATTACCATAGCGCAGCTATAAATAAGTCACAGGGAAGATATGAGGGTCCTGCCATCTCCCAGGCACCATACCCTCCGTTGGGAGGGGCTGCAGGCACGCTCACTGATTACACAGGCGGAGGAGCACCCCCATCCTTGATCTGCTTGTGATCGGCTTCCGAGTGGCCCACGCTGTGCTCTGGGCACGGGATTGGTGAGCAAGCTTGCATTCCGGCTGCAAGTAATGCTGAGGCCAGCCCTGGCTGGGTGAGGGTGGGATATAGGCAGGATTGTTCTTAGTACCCCTCACCTCCTCCCCAGCCAAGGGAAAGAGGAAAGAGCCTCACCTCTTATGCTATTTGGGGAAAAAGCCTTGCTCCCTTTCCGTGCACAAAAGACAAATATGCTTTGCTCTGCAAGGAATGATCTAGACTCTGGTCCCTTGAGAGTTGACTAAAGGGACCAGAGTCACCCATAGGAAGGCATTTCTCCAACGTTAGCAGAGGCCACAGTAGATACGCAGGAAGCAGCCTAGAGGTTCCCCTGCCTATATCTCACTCACAAGGACCCTGCTCTTTTAAGAACTGAACATTCCCACCACAATAAGGCCACCAGCTCTGACTCACTCACAAGATATAACTCTTTCACTCCTCTGTGCTTTTATTCACGCTGAGCCCTCTGCCTGGTAAGCACTTCCTCCCTTTGCAGACTGGCAAACACCTACTCATCCTTCAAAACCCTGCTCAGTTGCCACTGCCTGTGGAAACCCTTCTCAGATTCACTTAGGCAGAGATGGTTACCCCACAGCATGCTGAGCTGGGCCTGGCTTAGTGCTGTGTGGTTGCTTTCTATTTCCCCAGTAGACTGTGGGTCCCTTGAGAGCAGGGTTTAATCAGCTCCCAAGGCCTAGCATGGCATTTCTAGGAAAACGAATTGCAAGTGAAGGTCCCAGGGTGCTCACGGCCTGTGAGATAACTCTGTTGTTAAATCCCCCAGAGAAATGGAGTTCAGGGAAGCATCATCCACAGTGAAGCACATTTCCCCAGGGTAACTGGTCTTGGGGACTCTCTGGGAGTCCTAGAACAGCCTGACTGGGCCCTGTGGCCTACTTCTAAAGGCTTCCCCAGAGCCACTGGTGACAAGAGTTGCTGGCACCGTATCCTCGGTGGTGGGGAGTTACATGCCAGGGACCCCAGGACCTCGTCATCAGGCTCCCTCCGCTTTCTGTTCATTTCTGTCTGCATGGCCTTATTTAGGCTGGGTCCCTGCAGCGCCCAGATTTGGGGTGGGATAAGCCCACAGATGTTTTTGTGACAACATTTTGTGACAAGCTCTGAGGCAGGCCTGCTACTGCAGTGCCTGCTTCCTGCACCCCCCAGCCCTGGCAGCAGGATGGTGGCCCACCCAGCTCACCAAGGCTCCTCCTGCCAACTGAAGAATGGAGGCTATTTTTGCTTAATCACAACCTTGAAAAGACACAAATCGTGATCATCCCTTCTAATTACCAATGTGCCACACTGCTCTTGAGACAAAAGCCAAGGGTGTCACCCACGCACACGGCACCCTAAGCAAAGTGTCACCTGGCTTGGCAGAAGAGTCCAACTATCTCCATCCCCCCTCCACCAGCCCCTGCGCTCCACAGGGATGAATGCTGGCAGAGCCCCTGGCTAACGCTGATCATTACATTCTGCCCTCCATCCTGCCCCCAGCAGCCACTCATCTCTCTGATGGCCACCCCTGGTGTCCACTGAGCAGCAATGGGCCCAGCTTCTGACCAGGGACACATCCTGAGAAGCATCTACCAATCTGGCTACTCCTCGGAAGCACATGGGAGCACATGCATGGGCACAGAGGTGCACGCTTTGGGGAAGAACCCAGTGGCTTTGGTATGGGAAGAAGGAAATATATCTGGGAAATCTGGGAAGATCTAGACCCTCAATCAGCAGCAAGCAGGGGGACTTAGACCATGGTCCCCATCCCCAAGGTAAAGCCACTTAAAGGGACATACTCATAGGAGGAGACGGGCTGGCCACATTCACTCCTAAGAGTCAGGCAATCAGAGCTCCGAGTCCAAGCATGTTGGGGACAGGTGCCCTATGTGGTCCAGCCTCTGTGCCCAGCAGAATTAGACCCTGGGACCCGGAGGGGACCTGCAAACGTGATTGGTGAGCTGCTTTGGAGGACTACGGAGACAGGAAGAGGAACCAGGAAACTGCAGGTAACAGCTGTCGCCTAGGTTTTCGAA